TAATATGTGGAATTGAACGTACCCTTTTCCCCTGTCGTAGAGGGTCCTCCCTCCTTTACTGGTTTCAGTTTTGAAGTGAAGCCTCTTGTGTTCAAGTGGGAAGAGCACTGTTTTCATAGTCAGAGACCTGGATTTCAGTCCCAGTGGTTCTCATTACTTCACCAAACCTCAGCTTCTTTTTCTGTTAATTGGCACAGCAATAAAAAAAAAAAGGCTGTCCTTTAAATGAGAAAATATTTAAAACATTCATTTCTCCTAACAGTACTAAGATTCCCATTTGGTTTTTGTTGTGATTACCATAACTAGTCTGCCTTCCTGCTAGGTGAAGGGATATCTTATCTGGTGGTTAGGGATCTAATGCATGTTTGTCTCTGAATCAATCTGCCTGTCTTGGGCAACGCTGTTCCCAGGAATGGTCTTCCTGTGGATTTGCACATTGAGTCTGGTCTCTGTGGTGGCGGTCTCTCTGATTCTAGGGTACACAGCTGCTTTTCTAGAGAGTAAGTTCCTTGAGGGCTGCAGGGCAGTCATGCTGGTTTGAACAGGGTGGTTCTGCATGGCTGGTTCTGCTTCTGTACTCAGATGATCTTTTTTATCTTCAAGGTAGAGAAATGTGCCAGCCTCACACCCCTTTAAGCAGCAGCCACGGGAAGAACTGGTGGATGTGTTTATCAGTTTGGGGTACCTTGACCAAAACTGGGTGCGGGGATATACACACTCCGAGTTCTGCCTGTTCCCTCGTCTCCTTCCTTTTTACGCTCCGCTCGAGCCATCCTTCCATTTCCTCCCGAACTGCAGGCCCTTTGCGCCTGCTGCCGCCTCACCTGCAGTGTCTTTGCACTCACTCCTCACCTAGCAGATTCCTTCCTTTTCATCCTTCAAGGAGGTCTAGGTCAAATGATTCCTCTCTGAAGCTTCTTTTGGTCTTCCAGGCAGAATCAGGCCTCCCTTCTTTGTAGATCTCCATTTACTCACCCACTTGGTGGGCTGCAGATTAATTGAGGGGCTGCTGTGTGCAGGTAGAGGCTACAGAGACCCGTTTAAAACGCGCGCTTGCCCTAAAGGAGCTCATAGCTAGGGAGACAGACCCGGGCGCGCAGACGCACGTGCTGACTGCTCCAGGGAAGCGCTGGGGGGTGCCTGCCGTGCTTCAGGGGCAGATGGCAGGGGAGGTTCCTGGAGGTGGTGACACCTGAGCCCGAAGAGTGTGGGGTGTGCAGGGGGAAGGGCTGCCTTGGGCAGAGGCACAGAGTTCAGAAATGACTTGGTGTGTGCAGAACAGTGGCAAGCAGTTGGTTATGTTGGAACACAGGCAGTGGCTAGAGAGCATAACGCTTTCTAGGGTTATTTTTGTTTGTTTTTAGCTCTGCGCTGAGGTTTGTGGGATCTTCATTCCCTGACTAGAGATCCAACACCTGCCCTTGGCAGTGAAAGCCTGGAGCCATCACCACTGGACTACCAGGGAACTCCTAGGACTTTGAAGGCTGAGCCATATGAAATTGTCATTTTCATAGGTCAAAACAAAAATAGATATCATCAGTTTCACATGGCTCCAGCTAATATGTTCCCTTTAGGGTTTTGGATCTTAGTGTTTCCCACACTTCTGTCATTCTTAAACCACCTTCATGATTTTTACTGCTGTGTGTGTTCAGTCACTCAGTTGTGTCCAACTGTTTTTGACCTTATGGACTGTAACCCGCCAGGTTCCTCTGTACTTGGGATTCTCCAGGCAAGAATGCTGGAGTGGGTTGCCATTTCCTCCTCCAGGGGACCTTCCCAACCCAGGGATTGAAACTGTGTCTCCTGTATCTCCTGCATTGGCAGGCAGATTCTTTACCACTGAGCCACTTGTAAAGCCCAAGTGGGTACTACTGAATACCCAGTTAATTTTTATGTAAAGAGGTTCACTCTTCTTCTTCTTTTTTTTTTACTTAAGTAAATTTATTTAGAAGGAAATGAAACTTCATATCAAAATTAAAAATTGTTACTTGACATAAGAAGTTAGCTGTACAAAGAAACTCAATGAAAATAAAACTCTTGCTAGGTCCTTGCTTTGTGTAAACATGTCCCCCTCCACAAATAAAAGAAGCCTAGGCAATTGTTAGAGAAGTGTTCAGAGAGTCTGAGAGAGCAGATGTCTTTTAAGAGCCCAGAAGGGTTCAGGGCAATAGAATTTTAGAGGAGTAGATGGAATCAAAAGATATTGGGGAATAAAAATCACCAGGATTAATTAAATGTGACAGGAGAGAAAAGAAGAGTCAAGAATGACTTTTAGGTTTCTATCCTGGAAACTAGGTGATGGCACCAGATGTAGATGTGGGGAAGAATGATTGAGGAAGAAAGGATGATGAGGTCGGTTTTGCACATTTTGCATTTGCGATGCCCTTGGGGCCACCTAGATGGAGATGCCGACAAACAGCCAGGATGAGGGCTCAGCAGAGCTGCTGGGCACAGGCAGTCCTCGAGACTGAGGACATGAGCCTCTAATAGACCAGCTATGGGGCAGCTGTCTTGGTGTTGGTGCTTCCCCAAATTTCCTCCCAGGCTAAAAACCCACCTTTGCTCTCCTCTAGGAAGGAGTAGATGGAAGTCCAGGGGCATCAGTGTTCTCAGTCACCTTGGTCTCAGCAGCTCCTGGCTCACCAGAGGAAAGGAGAAGATGGCAAGTTCCGTCTTGAATCTGCCGAGCCATGGGGCCACGGGGGACATCAATGGGGAATGTCCGTCCAGATAGATCCTGCTCTCCATTCGGCAGTCTAAAGTCTGGGACTGTATTTGGGAATAATCAGTCAATAGCTGGTGATGGAAACCCTGAGAATAGATGAGAATGCCCAAAGACAATGTAGTACCATAATAGTAGTGGGCCCAGGACTAAACCTGAGAGAAAAGTGGTGGGAGAGGAAGCCATTAAAGAGACAGAGAAGGAGCAGTCAGAAACCTTCAGAGGAAATCAGGAGAGGAAGTGTCAAGGAAGCCAACAAGTGGAGTTGCCCAGAGAGGAGAAATCACCGTGTCAGAAACAGCGAGAGGTCTGCCATGGGGAAGACATCTTCGGGTGTTGCGATTGGGATTTTACTCATGACCTTGGAAAAGTTATTTCCAGTAAAGTGGTGAGAATAGAAACCAACATTCATATTGATTGAGGAAATGAACAAGCATAGACAGCAAACGTAGACTGTTCTCTGCAGGGGGCATATGACATACCTTTGTTATTTGTTCATGCAATAAATATCTACTGACTGCCTGCTGTGTGCCAGGCACTGTGGTAGGTGATGATGAATAAAACAGTGAGCAAAAACATGGGGTTTATATTCTAGGGATGGAGAGGCAGACACTGTATAAAATAGAGTTGAGCCTTGAACATCGTGGGTGTGAACTGCATGGGTCCACTTGTAGACAGATTTTTCCCATACTTATACTACCCTGTTTACCATGCAAGGTTGTTTGAGTTCACAAATGGGGAACCATGGATACAGAGGGCTGACTGTAAAGCTATACAGAGATTTTTGAGGGATGTTGGCACCCCTAACCTTCCAGTGTTGTTTAAGGATCAACTATCTATTAGGTCTTGATAAGTGCCTTGAAGAAAAGCAGAGGGGTCTGGGCGTGTGTGCATGTGTGTGTACGCTGTTTTACATAAAGCGATGAAAGTCTGTCTGATCAAATGGCTGTTATAAGGCATTGCTGAATTTGTGTTTTTTTTGTTGTTGTTGAGTTTGTTTTAAAGCACAGTATCAAATAAATTATAGTCCTTAATTCTTGATATATTGTCTATAGTGTTAAAATAATTAATTGATAGGTTTTACCACCCCGCTACCCAACAATAAAATACGAAGCCCTTACCATGGTCTCTAAAGCCCTCCATAATCTGCCCCCTGCCTTCCTCACAAAATTCATCTAGTACTGTCTTTCCCCTTTCTGGGTCCATTCCAGCACCTAAGCTGAAGTGAATGAATGAATGAAGTGTGTCACTTGGATGGTGGCCTCCCAAGTGGCCTGTTTGGCAAGGGAAAGCAGGTAGCTTAGGATCAAAGAGCTTAAGCTTTGGTGCTGGATAAACCTGGCCTTGATTCCTAGCTGTGCCGCTTACAGGTTCTCTGACTTTGGGTAGGTCACACATTCTCAGTTTCCTTATCTGTGAGATGGAGATGATATGATATCCATATTGCAAGACTGTTTTTAGGTAGAGTTGATAGTTAATGCAAATTGCTTAGCATAATATATGGTACACTGTAAGCACCAAGAAATGGGAGTAATGTTGCCATCCCTGCTGTTGTTACCATTGCTTTACTACATCAGGCCTCCTCAGTTAACAGGGGAGGAAGTAGGTCTCACCAGAGGTAAGCAGTGAGTCAGAGAAGGGGGAGCGGTGACCAGCACCCAGGTGATTAGGCATGGCGTGTAAGTCAGGATGCGCTTCCAAGCTGAGGAGACCTTGGTTCATGTTTTGGGTTTATCATTTACTATGTTTGAACTGGTTGCTTGACCTCTCTGAACCTTGGGTTCTCCATCCTTAAAATGCCTCATGAGATGGTTGGAAAGTGGAGCGAGGACACATGTACAGGCAGTGGAGAGCAGGGCCACTTCGAAAGCACTCAGCAAGCCGAGGTTCTCCCCACCTCGGCGGCGGTGCTGCTTTCTTCTGTACTTAACCCAGTGGGTGGTTAGTTTGTTTTCTCAAAGAGATAAGGGAGACATGGACCCCTTTGAGAATCTGTGGATACCCAAACTCAAAAGGTTCCTAAACCTTTGCTAATAGTGGGGGTGAAAATTTAATAGATCCAGACTGAATCCAATCAGTCTCTCCTTCTTCTGGCTCCCTCTTCTCTTTTCCTTCTCTTTATTGTACAGCCCTATGTGTTCTGGGCAAGATGCCTTTATTTATCTCACACTTTTTCTAACAACTTCCTTCCAAGGGCATTCTCAGATCTTACAACTTCCTTCCAAGGGCATTTTCAGCAAAGACCGCACCCACACTCTCAGTTTCTGGGGCTAAGGGCATGGTGTCCCTTAAGTTTCCAAAGCATGAGTTTCCTTATCTGTACAATGGAGTTGTTGTTCAGTTGCTCAGTTGTGTCCGACTCTTTGCAACCTCATGGACTGCAGCATGCCAGGCTTCCCTGTCCTGCACTATCTCCTGGAGTTTGTTTAAACTCGTGTCCATTGAGTCGGTGATTCCATCCAACCATCTCATCCTCTGTCGTCCCCTTCTCCTCCTGCCTTCAATCTTTCCCAGCATCGGGACCTTTTCCAATGAGTTGGCTCTTCACATCAGGTGGCCAAAGTATTGGAGCTTCAGCTTCAGTCCTTCCAATGAATATTCAAGACTGATTGCCTTTAGGATTGACTGGTTTGATCTCCTTGCAGTCCAAGGGACTCTCAAGCGTCTTCTCCAACACCACAGTTCAAAAGCATTGAACAAAAGTAAAATGGTGAGGGTTAATTAAGTAAACATTGGTGGTTGATAGCACTTTGCCAGGTATGTTCACACATAGTCTCATTAAGTCCAAACAATAATTTCATGAAGTAGATCTTTCATTCAACTCAGTCAACATTAAATGCCTACTATGTTCTAGGTAGTTTTAACCACAGTGATGTCTTATGGAGCTTACATAGTGGGAAGAGACTATAAAAACATGAACCACTAAATAAGGCAGTTTCAAATTATGATAGATGGTGTAACAAATGTGAAACAAGAGCTAAGGGAAGGTGATTAGGTTTCTACATGGATATAGCTTGTATAAATTCATAGTATAAGAGTATCAAAGTATATCCTTGTTACTTTTTAATTAAAAAAATTTTTTAACTTTTTATGGTAGCTTTTTTTCCCCTGTTAAATACAGATTCTCAGTGGACTGCTCTTAACAGGCATTACAGAATGCTTGAGCTTGCCCTCTTAGACAAGAGGGCCTCAGTTAATAGCCTTAGTTAATAGAGAGTTTAATCAAATCGGATTTCAAGGCAAGTCTATGAAAGGTGTGGACTTTGGATCTCAGACACCATTCCCTGGAGCTGGCGGTCTTCACTTGCATCGCCAATTTGAGGAGGGCAAATCCAGTCTGTTAAACTCAGAAAGATGCCATGCCTAAGTAAAATCACCAGCTGAACATGTCTGAAGGATGTGAAACAAAGGTGAATGTAGTCAGTTGAGAAACATGAGCCCACTGAGGAAGAGAAGAGTGGCTACAGCTGTGCAGAGCGAGACCGCCAAGAGGCAGGCTTGCTGTAGCATTCTTTTTATCGAGGCCATGATTTTTCTCTAACAATTTCTGCTTAAGAAAATACCTCTGTATGTCAGTTACTTAATGTGACATATTAATAGGAAAATCTATAAGGAAACAATTTCAGCCAGTTTAAGTAACTTGACTACAGCCAGCACTGGTAGTGGTGGGGATTGGAGCTCAGATTGTCACTGAGCCCCAACCCAGTGTCCCTTTCACCCACCACCCGCAAACCTCAGATGCTGCCCGCTTGGTCAGACAGAGGAATGGCAGAGCCCAGGCCAGAAGAGGTCCAAGGGGAAAGCCCTCCATCCACCAGGATTCCTCACCCAACACGCAAGTCCGGCCCAGAGAATCCACTGGACCTTTTTCCATGAAAGGCAAGAGCTCCTTTCTGCTACTGAAGACAAACTGGTTGGTTTTTATTTATTTATTTATTTTTTCTTTTCTGTTTTCCTCTTGTCTTTCAGTGTTTTAAATGACTCTACTGCCAACCAGCCTGAAATTGCTCTTTTCCAAAATTAAAAGACTTTTAAATTGTGTTTGTTATAAAAGTAGAATATATTTGTTACAAAAAGTCAAGTGTGCATAGCAGAAGATGAGCCTGTCTGTGCCCATTCCACAGCGCCCCCTCCCCCCCAATATAGCTTTAAACATGCCTTCAGAACATGTTTTGTTGTAGTTTTAAAAGATGGGTCTTTTACGTTCTCTCACAAAGGTATCTAACCTGAGTGCTCTAACCCCCTCAGGTTTTCAGATGACACTCTGGACTGGCCTTAAGTTGAATAGTAATTAGCTCAAGTTACAGGGACGTCACCTGTATGCTGGGTGTTGCTGATCCAAGATGGACAAAACAACGGCAGACTTTAAGGAACTCACTCTGTTCCTTAAACCAAGGATGAGATGGTAATCCCCCAGTGAACATATACAGAGTATCATTTTTAAAACAGGTTAAAAACGTTCTTTTTAATCAGAATGACAACATAATTAACTGATGTGAGAAGTAGGCCAATATTCAAGTGTAAGAGTTCTCCGCTTTGCAGGTGACCCTGCCTCATGCTGGGATAGATGGGTGGGAGCAGCATTGTTCCCATCCTGGCTGTTGAGCTCTCTCCCTGGGTAGATCCTGTTCCAGAGCCCTAAGTATATGCCAGGTCAGTTAGTCAGCAGTTCTGCTTCAGGAGTGGGCCCATGTATCCATTATAACAATGTTACATTTTCAAAATGGAATGCATTTAAAATATAAATATAAATTAAGCATTTCCTGTGCAGGAGAGGGAGATTTTAGGCCTGGGACTAGAATGCAAGGCTCCTCACCCCGTTTGATGTGTTTTTCCTTTCACCCTGTGATTGAGTTCTAGAGCACCGAATGAGTATTAGTCTTCATGGACTTTTTATCCATTGCTGACTATAGGGATTGGCTGGTGCTGGGCAACAGAGATTTAAAGTTGGGTAGCTCAGGGAGTTCCCTTGCGTTCGAGGTCCAGTGGTTAAGGCTGTGCACTCTCACTGCCAGGAGCCTGGGTTCAGTCCCAGGTTGGGGATCTAAGATCCCTCAAGATGCACGTTGCGGCTTAAATAAAGTTGGTCAGGTCAGTCACCTGCACTTTATGCTGAATAAACAGCCCAGTGACAAAACAGAAGAATAAATTGACAATTTACACCCAAAAAGGGTTAGTTGCAGAAGAAAGGGCCTGGAGCAGAGGGGTGGAGGGCTTCTCAATTTAGTGAATGAAAGCTCATTGGAAGAAACAACTTATGTCATTTCTTTTACTTTTCCTGGAGCAGAGACCTGAAGAGCCGCTAGGCTTTCCCAGGTTGGGTGAGGAGTCAGGCTGGGTACATTGGGGAATTGCTGATGGTGATCAGATTAGTTTGTAACCTGATCTGATCTAATCAAACAAGACATAATCAGTGCTGGTATTTTAAACCAATTTTCAACTGTTTGAAGTGAAAGTCCCTCAGTGAAAGTGAAAGTCCGACTCTTTTCGATCCCGTGGACTATAGCCTGCCAGATTCCTCTGTGGAATTCTCCAGGTCAGAATACTGGAGTGGGTAGCCTATCACTTCTCCAGGGGATCTTCCTGGCTCACGAATCAAATCAGGGTTCCCTGCATTGCAGGCAGATTCTTTACCAGCTAAACTACAAGGGAAGCCCCTTCAACTGTTTGTCGCTGCTGCTAAGTCGCTTCAGTGGTGTCCGACTCTGTGTGACCCCATAGATGGCAGCCCACCAGGCTCCCCCGTTCCTGGGATTCTCCAGGCAAGAACACTGGAGTCGGTTGCCATTTCCTTCTCCAATGCATGAAAGTGAAAAGTGAAAGTGAAGTCGCTCAGTCCTGTGTCGGACTCTTAGCGACCCCATGGATTGCACCCTACCAGGCTCCTCTGCCCATGGGATTTTCCAGGCAAGAGTACTGGAGTGGGTTGCCATTGCCTTCTCCCTTCAACTGTTTAGTAGCTCTTTTTAGCCATGATAATAGTTTATTAATAGTTAAATTTAGTGCTTCTGGGATGAGGGTAAGAACCCTCAGGGATGGTGTCTTAGACTGGTCTGATTCAGGCCCTACTGGTTTAGAGGAAATAGCCATTGGTTCATTCAAGAAGTATTTATTTGGTACTGGGGTACCAAGCACTGTTTTGGGGTGAAAGTGAGACATGGCCTGTTGTTACCTCTTGTAGCTAAATTGTTTGACTTTAACGAATCCCTTTCACACTCTGGGCCTCAGATCCTTGACCTATTCAGAGATATGCGTTCACAGTGAACCTAGACTGTTTAGATTCAAATTCCAGCATCACTTCTTTGCTGTTATGTGACCACGGGCAAGTTAGCTTCATCCCCCTGAGCTACGGGTTCCTCATCTGTAAAGTGGGGATAACATGACTCGTTTCATTGGGTTGTACTGAGAGTGAAATTAAGCTAACTCAATCACTGGTCTTCAGTGCGCCCAATCAAGAGTGGTCACTAGAGTTAATCCTTGCTGATTTCATTAGCCGCAGACCCACTCAGGAACTACACACAGGTGTTATTTAGGGCGTGGCTAACAGCGCAAGGGACGGGCCCGGGTTTATAAAACCAGGGCCCGGGGTTGCGGTCTACATTCCGCCTCGGCTGGACATCGGAGCGTGGCCTTTTCGGGGACTTGGCTCCGCGCTCCCGAGGACCAGAAGCGGGGCTGCCCAGCGGCGACCAGTGCGGAGCACCCGGCGCGCCGAGACCAAGCGACCCGCCCCCGCCACGCCGGCTCCCGGAGCGCTCGGCCCCGCCGGTGCGCGCAGTGGACCTCGGTCCCCGGCCGCGGGGGCGGGGCCTGCGGCCGAGCGGCGCCCCAGACGCACCTCCCCGCCCCCCCGCCCCCCACTTCGCTGAGGCCCGGAAGGGACCGGTCGCGCTTCCGTCTCCGCCGGGGATGCACGGAGGGCGGAGCCGCAGCCCTAGGACGCGACGCGAGCCCAGTTCCGGCGAGGAGGCCGCGCCAGTGACAGCGATGGCGGCGGAGTCGGCGCTGCAAGTTGTGGAGAAGCTGCAGGCGCGCCTGGCCACGAACGCAGACCCGAAGAAGGTGAGCGAGCGGGCGGGCGGGCGGGCGCGGCGTGGGGCGGGCGTTGGACGCGGCGCGGCCCGGTAACGGTCGCGGGCCCGGGCGCGGCCGCGGGGGGCTCGGACCCGCGGCGCGGTCCCCGCCGGGCTGCGGCCTGCGGCGGGGAACTTCGTGGCCGTCCGGCCGCTGCCCACGCGGTGGAGCCCGTAGGGCGGCGGGCCCGGGCCGGCTTGTGCCGGGCCCGGGAGCCCGAGGGCTGCGGAGGGCCAGGGGCGCGCTCCGCGCGAACGCCGCGTGCCGGCGGGGCTCGCGGAGCCCTCCCCCGGGCGTCCCGGGCCAGCTGTTTTCCTGTCGGGAGAGCTCCCCGCCCGGAGTTAACTCCTGCCCGCTCAGCTCCTCGCTCTGCGCGATCCGTCCCCTGATTTCTTCCCGTCTTTTTGATGTTTGTTGGGGAGAAAGGGGTAGCGGGTCGGTGGTTCTCTGCCTGCGCCTGATGGAACCTAGGCTCGGTGTGTGGTTTCTGCGTCTTTAAGACATTTTTAAATTTCTTTCTACCTTGATAATTAGAACGTTGACCCCCCTTTTTTTTTGCTTTCTCAGTAAATCTTTCAAAGCAAAAATAAACCTCATGTCACCCTAACTAAAAACTTAGGTTGTAATAGGAAGGGGGGCGGGGGGAACAGGGTTAGAAGTTGCAGCTAAATTTTCCTTTTTCTTCTGGCATTGCCAGAAAGGTAAGGGCTACCGTTTCTGGCAGCTGCGAATGATGGGCAACCATTTTTAATTGTGCTCGGCTAGTTTTATCCCCTCTCCTTAACTGTTTCCATAAGTTAAATGCGTTTTTTTTTTCTCCGACTTTTTTTCTCACCCAGTTCCTCAGTGTCTGGGTGAGGGTCCGGTGGATGTTAGGTTTTTTTTGTTTTGTTTTGTTTTTAATTGAAATACAGTGATGAAAACACTCAAGGTGTTTGACATTTCTGTCAGCATTATAGCTGCTGTGTACAGTCCTTAAGAGTTGGATCTGTAAATCCCAGAGTGCCTTTTAAAGAGGAAATAATCCAGGGAGTCATTAGAGATAAAATGGTGAGATTTGAGTTCTCATTTATTTGCTAGCCATAGACATTTGGGGGGGGGGGGGTGGAATGTTCCTTGCTAAGCCACTTTCCTCACCTGCTTCTTCTGGGACAGTACCAAAGGCGGAAGTGCTCCTTAGGGGTTAATCTCCACTCTTCACAGTTTTTCTTGATGGGTCCCTTTCTCTTCACCTTGTTCTCAGTCTGTCCTGAGGGGGGTGGGGGGTGGGGGGGGTTCTGTTTCTGAAGGCTGTATCTCATCAGACCACTTGCCTCATGCATACCTAGCTCGAAGATCCACTTCTTCAGGGACATTTGAGCTTTAAGTCTTGTGAAAACTGAAATGCTGTCACTTGTTCTGTGTTATATTTTCTCTCCTGGCTTCAGTACCTAGTGGACAGGCATATTTACAAGTTTCTTTTTACAATAACCCTTTGTGGGCTTCTAATCAATGGTCATTATTTCTGAGTACTAGCTTGTTTTCCTGGACACTGTAGGTTTGTTACTGACTTTTTCAAACCTTAAAACATTATGTAAATCCCCTTATCTCCCCAGTTTCATCTTCCATTGGGTTAAAAAAAAAAAGGCACCATGTTAGTATCTACAGCCATTTTCCCACTAGAACTTAAATTTTGAAGTAGCTCTTCTAGTTGTTGATTTGCATGAAATTTCAAAGTAAGAAAAGGTTCGTTTGACTTCTCAGCCTATTCCAACTAGGAGTGATTGTGAGTATCTGGGCATAGACACCCTAAACTTCTGACTTTGCATTATGAAGATCATTTTTGCAAAGGGCACAATAGTTGGCATTCACAAATGAGCTAATGCAGAGGGAAAACTGCAAGCTGGCACGCTGGCCTTCTCAACCTTCTGTTAACCCAACAAGCTCCCACAGGTTGTTCTTGAAATTGCAAGATGATTATATAGCAGTATTGAAATTTGAAACTAAATCTTGATTTTAAAACCATTATTAGCGAAAGGGTTGATTCTGCACCTCTGTGCATGGATTTTCCAGTGTTAAACATTTAGATGTTTGACTATAACTCTGTTTTTACTTTAAGCCCATGTATAATCTAGCTTACTTGGGGGAAATGTATCAAACAAACCAGGGTCACTTGGTTCCTACTGTTTAAGTGGAAACCGTTTTCATGGCTGGTCAAGTTACTTGTCACATGTTATCCTTTGAACATGGAAACTACCAGGAACACAGTTTGAAGGCAAGTGGGGAGCAAGGGGTCAACACTACGAACATCTTTAGCTCTTTGGGATGAAGTAGTGTGCAAAGGACAACTGAGATTCCTAAGCATGGACTGTGCAAATGTGTTCCGTTTCTCAATGACTCGTTATCAATTCTTGCAAACTACAACTGGTCCCTCAGTTTGGTAACAGCAAGTTTCCACCTACCTGAGGATGCCCCAGGAGCTTTACCTTTTTAATGCTTTGTTCTTCTTTGAACCTCATTGAAAATAGAGAGGCTCTGAAGACGTGTTTCTCTTGGCTTGGGCTAAATTGGTTTGAATGTCTCCAGGGTTTTCGTTTTGTCTGCTTTTAAGTGGCCCCTTCTAACCGAAAATGAAGCAGAAAGACAGGATTTACACTTTGAGTTAGTGATAGGCTTCAAGATGAACACACCTTCAGTGACTTCTAGCCCTATTCTTATATGTGGCCTTTACAGAGGTCCTCGTAGTGACCTCCTTTCCTCTGCAGACTCTAAGCTGTCTGACATTGTAACACTAGGGAGGGACTCTTCTGCTCTGTGTCAAGTCTGCTAAGAGGCACGGTTTCTTTTCCTATCTTCTAAGGACAATGTTTTTTCTTTTTTTTTAATGTGGCTTTGTAGTATTGAGTTGGCCAAAGGAGTTTTTCTGTAACATTTTACCAACCCAATGCCTGTTGTGTTAAACACACTTGACTGACTTGCTTGTTAGGCAAGTCAGCTTAATCTCACTGAGCTCAGTTTCAATATCTGTAAAATGGGGAACATAACATCCATTTTATAGAGTTGGTTAATGAGAATGAAATGAGTGAACAGGTGTAAGAACTTAACATGGTAGTCAATGCACAATAAATAGTATTCAATATATAAATGCCTTCCAGAGAATGGTGTTAGAGGAGACAATCTGTTTTTGATCTCTTCAGATATTCTAAATTTTCCTTTTTAAGAAAAGGATTTGGCAGGAATCTTTGCACCCATCACTTGGGTGACAAGAAATACACATTTACTTTGTCCTGAGTTGGATGGTGGTGGTGATTGAATTGGAAGTAGAGCATAGTTTTCGCTCAGCTATGAAGGTAAAACTCCATAGATACACTACTTGGCTTCTCAGTTGTTCCCAGTCAAACAAGATGATCACATGTGATCCAGTTGCTCTGCCTAGTGACTGTGTTCAGTAATTATTCAAGTAGAATGATCAGAAAAACATACTTGCTACTCCACCTAGTAGCAATATGGCATACTAATTATAGCCTGGGCTACACATGTAAAAAGAACAGATCCTGTTACCAGATATTTAAATATAAAGGCAGTCATAGTTAATCTATTTTGAACAACGTGTACTTTTCAGCACTCCTTGAATGTAAATTTATTTATATATACATAAACCTTGCCTAGAGAATGGCATAGTAGTCATGACTTTGGGTAGAAGTGGAGCAAGTAGGAACTGGCTGAGAATGTCTGGTAGAAGATTAAGGGTAGCTGTTTAACGAATGGTCGGTTGATGAATGAAATGATTAATAAGAATTTATTGAGCTTGTATAGCATTCCAGGCACTAGGGCTACAGACATGGTTTGAATCCTCACAACCTGTGAAGTAGAGACAGGATTCAGTTCCTGGATTCAGTTCCTGTTTTGCAGATGAAGTAACTGAGGCTCAGAGAGGTCAGTGACTTGCACAAGATCACCCCACAAGAAACTGGCAGGGGCGCACTGAAGCCTGGCTTTGCCTGAGACTCTGTCTCAACAGATCTGCTATCCTGATTGTGATCAAGTTCAAGAGACTATACTATAGAAAGGATGTGTGGCCGAACCCAGATTGCCTCTCCAGTCTACCCAGACAGTTTTGTTCACCATTTGCAATGCAAAGTTCTGATTCTAGCAACTTGAAATTGGTCTTGGCTTCCCACTTAACATCAGAAAGCAAACAAACAAAAACCCCAGTTCTGTTAAACACACTTTCTCTGGAAATGTGATTACCTTTTCCTGTAGAGACCTCTTCTTTTTACTTTCCTCCATGAGTAATTTCCTACATTCGGCACCTTTCTCAGAAATTCTAGCTGGGGCAGAACGGTAGTTGTTGATGACTTATATTAGAACTGATAGGTCTTCCCTTGGTGTTGCGTAGTGGTTGAAAGCACAGAATCTAAAGCCACAGACCTGAGTGAATCTTGCCCTACATGCATCCTGGGACAAGTAATTTAAGTTTATTGAGTCTGTTTTCACTCTTGTAAATAGGATAATAACCATACTTCATACTGTATAACACAGAGTAAACACTTTGCCATTAGATATTATTCTTTGATATGATTTTATAAAAATTAATGTGTATTTAATTTCTCTCTGCAGCTACTGAAATATTTGAAGAAACTCTCCGCCTTGCCCATTACAGTAGATATTCTTGCGGTAAGAGCTGTGTAATTTTAGGTATTATGCAACTGTATCCCATCCCCTTTGCAATCGGAGAGATTATACAGTAAGATTAAGACCATGGGCTCTAGAAGTGAAGGAAACCAGACACAAGGTTACATATTGTGTGGTTTTATTGATATGAAATGTCCAGAGTAGGCAAATCCACAGACAGAAAGTAGTTTAGTGATTACCAGGGGTGGGAGGAACTGGGTTTCTTTTTCAGGTGATGAAAATGTCCTAAAGTATTAATTCAGGGAGTTCCTTGATGGATCAGTGGTTAGAACTCTGTGCTTCCAGTGCCATGGGCCTGGGTTGAATCCCTAGTTTGGGGAATTAAGTTTCCACAAGTCACACAGTGTGGCCAAAAAAAGTATTAACTCAGACACCAGATGCACTACTCTTAGCTCAGGGTCTGACACCTGCCATGATCACTCTTGTTATCTGTAAAGTTCTAGAAGTGCTTGTCTTATAATCCATGGGCTTGCCTTTTTTTTTTTAAACTGAATTTATTTTTGGCTGTGCTGGGTCTTTATTGCTGTGCACAGGCTTTTTTAGTTGCCACGAGCAGGCTTCTCATCACAGTGGCTTCTCTTGCTGTGAAGCACAAGAGAAGGGCGAGTGGGTTTCAGGAGTTCTGACACATGGGCTGAGTCGCCCTGAGGCATGTGGAATCTTTGGGACCAGGAATCAAACCTGTGTCCCCTGCACCAGCAGGCAGACTCTTAACCACTGGACTACCAGGGAGGTCCTCCAGAAGTGTTTTAATTTTGTGTTTTCCTCTTCTGAATTTGCTTTGCTTTGCTACTGTGGGTTTTTAGAGGTTTGGCGTGTTGACAGGAACTAATTTTGTACTGAGACTTGTATGTTTTTGGAATGAAGTATTGGTTTGTTGGAAAGTAGGAGGCTTTATTTCTTTAGAAAATTGTGAGCCTAGTTCCACAACCTTCTAACGATTCCTTTGTCAACTTTGTAGGAGACTGGAGTTGGAAAAACGGTAAACAGCTTGCGAAAACACGAGCACGTTGGAAACTTTGCCAGGGACCTAGTGGCCCAGTGGAAGAAGCTGGTTCCTGTAGAACGGTAGGAAAAGTTTTTTTATTCCTTCTCTGCCTTCTTATTTAAAATATTTATTCTGCCTCAATTATAAAAAACAATCCATGATCATTAAAGAATATTATAAAATATTTAAAAAATAGAAGAATAAATTTCTCTTTTTGGTACTGCCTCATGGCTTATGGGATCTCAGTTCCCTGACTAGGGATTGAACCTTGGGCCACAGTAGTGAAAGCCCAGAATCCCCACCACTAGGCCACCAGGGAACTCAAAAGATTAAAAATTTCTAAATTGTACCTTCCAGAGATCAGCGTTATTGACATTTTGGAATGTTTCTTTCTAAGCTTGGTCTTAAAAATCATTTTTATACACTTGTGAATAAACTGACATAATTTACTGCCCAGTTTTAATGTAACAAATTAAATATTTCCCTGTGTTGAAAAGCTTTTTAAGCATTTTCATGTACACAAAATACTTGATCTTCTTTGTAGCCTGTAGTTAAACTCATCATATCCCATTTATGGAATATTTTGAGTTTTCTCAGTTTTAAAACCTAGTTGGTGGAGAAGGAAATGGCAACCCACTCCAGTACCTTTGCCTGGAAAATCCCATGGACGGAGGAGCCTGGTATGCTGCAGTCCACAGGGTCACAAAGAATCAGATACAACTGAGCGACTTCACTTTCATCATATTATCTAGTAATTCCACTCTTAGGTATAGAAAAAATGAAAATGTATGCACACAGCTTGTAAACAGATGTTTATAGTGGCATTATTCGTAACAGTCAGAAATCAAAACAAGTCAAATACCCATCAAATAATAAACAAAATGTGGCATATCCAGACAATGGAATATTATTCAGCAGTTAAAAAGAAACTGGGTACTGATACATGCCATGACATGGATAAACTTCAAGTGAAAGAAGCCAGGCAGGAAAAGCCACATATTGTGTGATTTCATTTGTATGGATGTCCAGAATTGTCAAATCTCTATATGGAGAACGTAGATTAGTGGTTGCCTCGGGCTGGGGGATGCTGGGGAGAAGTGGGAGTGACTGCTAATAAATTTGGAGTTTGGGGAGGGAGATGATGAAAATGTTATAGAACTGATTTTGTGGTAGTGGAGGTTCTACTCTGTGACTGTACTGAAAACCACCGAATTGTGCTCTTTGTGTGAACTGTATGGGGTGAGAATTATTTATCAGGTTGTACAAATAAAACTTTATTTTTCTCCTTTAAAAAAAAACAAATTAAAAAAAATAAATAAATAAATTAAATTAAAAAAAAAAAACAAACAAACAACAACCACCTAGTTGGGTATCTTTAAGCAGAACCTTCTTTCCAAGCCCTTGTTTCTAACTATAAATTCTTCATCTCTTTTGTGAGTTCAGGTTCTGTGACTTTGTCCTGTGACCAAGGATTACCCTGAACGTTTTCTGTTGTTTTTTTTTGTTTTGTTTTAGAACCACAGAGCCCGAGGAACAGGACTTTGAGAAGAGCAGTTCTCGGAAGCGCCCCAAGGATGCCCTGAGGGAGGAGGCGGAGATACAGGGGGACTACCCGGAAAGCTGGAAAGCCTCCAGCAGCCAGTCGTACAGTCCTGATAATAGACAGAAAAAGCACAGAAAACTCCCAGAGCTCGAGCGGCCTCACAAAGTATCTCACAGTCATGAGAGGAGAGATGAAAGAAAGAGGTACCACAGAGCTTCTCCAGTTTACTCTTCAGACCATGAGTCTTCCGATTACGGCCATGTTCAGTCCCCTCCACCATCCACCAGCCCTCGTCAGATGTCTTTGGACCATTACAGATCCCTGGAAGAGGACCATGAGCCCTTTGTTCCCCACCAGAAGCCTGGCAAAGGCCATAGTAACGCCTTTCAGGACAGACTGGGGGTCAATCAAGAACGACACCTGGGGGAAGCCCAAGGGAGAGAAAGCATGAGTCAGAGCAAGGAGCACAGATCTTCCCATAAAGAAAAACGTCTGGCGGATGCCAAAGGAGACGAGAAGTCTCTGAGCAAAGAAAAATCACACAGGGTCTCCAAAGAGGAAAACCGGAGGCCGCCCTCCGGGGACAGCACGAAGGAGAAACCACCCTCTGGCGTCAGGAAAGAGAAGGAGAAGGAGGGCAGCACCAAGAGGAAGAGCTTACCCCCCTTGGAGCTGGCCTCAGACAACCACCTTAAAAGGCCAAAACCTAGGGACTCCGAGAAAACCAAATCAGACAAAAACAAGCAGAGTCTGGAAAACTCTGACGTAGGCAAGGGGGCAGGAGACCTGTTGCCCAAGGCAAAAGAGAAGGTTTCTAACAACCTGAAGACTCAAGAAGGGAAAGTCAAACCTTCGCATTCAGATAGAAAGTCGGTGGGTTCCTTCCCTAAAGGTGAGGAGGCAGATACGGATGATGAATTTGAGAAGCCCACCATGTCTTTTGAGTCATACCTCAGCTATGACCAGCCCCGGAAGAAAAAGAAAAAGATTGTGAAAACTTCAACCACGACTCCCAGAGAAAAAGGACTTAAAAAAAATGACTCAAAAAGCACTAGTAAAAACTTGGACTCAGTTCAGAAATTACCTAAGGTGAATGAAAACAAGCCCGAGAAGCTTCCGCCAGTTGGAGCCGACTCAGCCAAGCTGAAAAAGGTAACCCCTGCGGCCCCTTCCACCTGGGCCTGCAACCCCAATGCTGATTTGCTTGGCTGGCTTTTCCGTGACTTGCTGAATTTCAGTCTGAAATAATGTCCTCCTGGCCTCTCTGGCCACCAGGGTCGGTAGAAGCCGAGAAAAGTCTTTTCTGAGGCATTCCATCGCGCTGGGCCCATCTCTGTGTCTCCTGACTTAGGTGGTGTCAGGCATGGCTGCTGCCTCACCTCCAGGCTGCCTGTGAAGTTACTGCCACGTCAGCACCGCTGGGCATCGACTGTGGGAACGAGCTGTGCTGGCAGAAAGGGGCTCTCCAGTCACTGGTCTCTTCTCTGCAGGTCCCCAGCGATGTGTTGCCAGTATTACCTGACCTCCCATTACCTGTGATCCAGGCCAATTACCGTCCACTTCCTTCCCCTGAATTGATGTCATCCTTCCAACCAAAGCGAAAAGGTAGTTTGCTTTGTCTTTTTTTTTTCTTTGTTAAGGAAAAAGTGATATAAAAATTCATGATCTGACATCATGAATGGTGCATTTTCTAAGAGCGCAGGTTCTGGAGTTTGATGGCTTGGGTTTGAATCCCAGCTCTGGCCTCGACTACAAGTTATATGATCTTGGGTAATAACTTAATTTCCTTGGACTTCAGTTTCATACTCTGTAAATGGATGTAATAATGATATCTGCCTATGAGGTGGATTGAAAGTGAATGCTTATAAAGCTCTGAGCTCTGGGTTTTTGCACAGAGTAAGTGTTTATTAAATCTTAGCTGCTGCTGTTACTAGCAGCCTTCTGTTCTGTACATTCCACAGGGGCTTAAAAAAAAGTCTAGGTTTTTTGTTTTTGTTTTTCTTTTTAAGGCTAGTTTTAATAGCAAAAGAATTAGATGCTACCTAGGTGTTCCTTAGTAAGATACTAACAGGTGGATCATGGTTCATCCACACAGTGGCATCATATGCCATGGTTTTTGTTTTTTTAAAGTGGAAAATCCATATATTGAGGTGATTTCTAAAATTCAGTAAATGACAAAATGATAGTATGTTATTAAAAGTAATAAAATAAATATTAGCTTGTTTTTGCATAGACTTTTTGGAAGGACATAAGAAACTGGTGGCATTGGTTGCCTCTGAGAAAGGGAACTGGGAGGCTGAAGAATGGGGTGGAAGGAGAGTTTTCATTGACGAGCCAGTACCTTTTTATTTTATTTTTTTAAAATCTTTTGACGGCACCACATGGCATGTGAGATCTTAGTTCCCCGACCAGGGATTGAACCTGTGCCCCCTGCATTGGCAGCTCAGAGTCTTAACCACTGGACCACTAGGGAGGTCCAGCTTAGTGCCTTTTATAACTTCCATTCCTGTTTTTCTTGCCTTACAGCACTCTCCTCACCCCAGGAAGAGGAGGAAGCTGGATTCACCGGAAGAAGAATGAATTCTAAGATGCAGGTCTATTCCGGCTCCAAGTGTGCCTATCTCCCCAAGATGATGACCTTGCATGAGCAGTGCATCCGGGTGCTTAAAAACAACATCGACTGTAAGTCACATGCTCCTCTCCTGCTCTTAGGCACGTTGGGTCACTGGGTGACTTGACTGCTACTCAGTCCCTTTTTCCCTTGATTCTCTTCAGCGATCTTTGAAGTGGGAGGTGTCCCATATTCTGTCCTTGAACCTGTTTTGGAGAGGTGTACACCTGATCAGTTGTATCGAATAGAAGAGTACAATCACGTGAGTATCCTGCTTGGATGGCAAGAGGGCAGTTTACTGTCTTGTGTCTAAAAAAATAGGTTTGTCTCTGATTTGCCACGGTGATGGGCAGGCAGCTGTCAGAGCACTGTTCTGGGTTTGCCTATGGGCCTTTAAACAAGCAGAGTGTCAGCCCCTGCCCCTAGCATCTTAAGTAGGCCCCTTAGGCTAGAATCAAGGTGGGATTAAAAGGTGGGAGCAGGGAGAGGCAGACCATTTCCCACACGTCCCTTGAGCTTTCCTAGATACAGAAATCAAGGGAAAATTCTAGAAGCACAGCCCTTGGGATCCAAGGCAGGGATAGAGCTATGTTCACCAGACACCTGAGTGTCAACACATAAGATTGACTGAGTGTCTTTTAGAGGCAAAGAGATCTATCCCCAAATCCTCCTAAGGCTGGAGATACTCATTTGATTGCATGAGCTATCCCTCTCTGATCAAAAGGATCTGTGACATCTCCTCCTAAGGTGGCCCCTGGCCATGGCAGTTCAGTGCAGTGCTGGGGGAATGCTTGGACTGGACTTCACCTTAGTTCCTTCCCTGCACAGGAAAAGACTGATCTTAAACTAATTTCGACATTGTCTTCTCTCCTAGCCCCACACCCCCGGCTGCAGTTAGTAGTGCCTTGCACGGAATATTTTAACTCAGTGATTCTGCTTTTTCCTAGAACTGTGGTGTTTTACCATACTACTGCTGTTACTGTGAGGACCAAAGTGGTGTTAGGGAACGGGTCACCCTGGGAGATGAAGGATGGAAAAGAGGTATATAGGCGTGCACGCATGTAAATGAAGTCCTGGTTCTGATCCTAGGTATTAATTGAGGAAACGGATCCATTGTGGAAAGTTCACTGTCACCGAGACTTCAAGGATGAGAGGCCGGAGGAGTACGAGTCGTGGCGGGAGATGTACCTGCGGCTGCAGGACGCGCGGGAGCAGCGGCTGCGAGTCCTCACGAAGCACATCCGGTCTGCGCACGCCAACAAGCCCAAAGGTGAGGCTGCGGCCCGGGGCCGCCGCGGAGCCAGCCCCGCGCCCTGTCCCGCCAGGGCTGTGCCGGGCTCCGTTACGGCAGGACCTCTGGCCCCTCGCGCTCTCGAGTGTGCAGAAGCGGGCAGAGGGTGAGGTGTTTGTTCTTGCCACTCCCCATGCTACCCTCCAGAGGGCTTCCCAGGGTTGGTCGATTGTCCCCTGCTTTTGGAGAGCCTTGAAAAGCCTTTGTCTCTTAATAGCATAGATTATTAATAGTAGCGTCTCAGCTCAAGAAGGCAGGTATTAACCTCCATTTATCCACAGGCCGACAAGCAAAAATGGCCTTTGTCAACTCTGTGGCCAAGCCACCTCGTGATGTTCGAAGGAGGCAGGAGAAATTTGGAACTGGAGGAGCAGCTGTGCCTGAAAAAATCAGGTAAGATCTCTGCTCCTCTGTGGTTCTGCCTGCTCAGGGAGAGAGCTCAATGGGAGGCCCCAGGGCAGGAAGCAGTTCATTTTGGAGGTGGGGGAAGCGTGAGGCCAGAGTGGGTTCTGGAGGCTGACTTTGACCCACTGGGCCCTAGCCCCCTGAGCCTCAGCTTCTGTGGCTGCACTGTGGCCTGGATGATGATCCCCTGCCCCTCAGAGAGGTCAGGATTACATGGAGAACAGGGCCTGCCTCTGGGACACATTCCCTAAGGCTTTCCCTTTCTCTGTTTAAACGGAAAACGTATTACTGCAGTGACTGTGTTATCTAAGTATGTTCGCATTTCCGAAATACAGATTTGCACCGAAACGGTGAGAAGTTAGCCAAGATTATCATTCATCGTGAAGGACTACCATGTCACTTTCAAGTCATGAGCAAACTGTAGGAACCAGGTCCACTGGTCAGAGCCACAGAACCGAGTCCGCAGACCAGCCCACTTGAGGCTGTTTGTGCCGGGGGTTGGTTTCTCCTGCGTTTGACTCAGCTTTGCTCTGTGTCCCAGGATCAAGCCAGCGCCGTACCCCACAGGAAGCAGCCGGGCTTCCTTCAGCAGTGGCAGCAGCAACAGCTTTAACGCCAGCCCCGAGGAGCCAGCCTACGACGGCCCGAGTACCAGCGGGGCCCACCCGGCTCCGGTGCTCAGCAGCACTGTTTCCTATGATCCGAGGAAACCGGCTGTGAAGAGTAAGTGACGGGGCTCCCGCTCAGACATCTCAGAGCCAGCTCATGCTAGCGTTCGAGCCCCTTTCACGTCGTCAGTGCGGCTTGTGTGTGAGCTGCAGCAGGTGGGGTACCTTTCACGTGGCTGGTCCAGATGTCAGCGCCTCCTTCTCTGCCGTTGTTCACAGGCGTGTTGTGTGTGTTAAGTTTTGAGCGTAGTGAATATTCATTTTGGTGCTCTGCTTGTTCTTTTTTTTTTTAGCCTAAATGTAAACTTGTTTCTCTAGGCAACAGCATGGAGTTAACAGCTGAATGATTTTGTTGAAGTTTTATAATCTCAGGTTCCAAGTATTTATTTTTTATATCTAATTGAATCTAGTTCATGTTTTACTAACTTTACTACCATAGATGATCCTAAGTATTCTACAGGAGTGTCCTGACTTAAGCTTTATTCTGTACTGACTTCCGGGCCCACAGGAGGGTGGGAGCTCTGGTGGGGCTCAGGCTAACCCGTTCAGAAGCAGGCTCGTCCTTCTTAGGTGGTGTTTGCATTTAGCTCATCCCAGGCCTGTGCTGCCCAGGACAGACAGGTATGAGAGTGTGGCCTTTGTGCTGGTTTGGATGCTGGTGAAGCAGAGTTAAATTGCGGCTCAGGATGGCCTTCTAGTCTGGCAGGGATTGAACCCCAGTTCCTCCACTTACTGTAGAGGGGCCAGCCTGAGCCTCAGTGAGTTGTGAGACTTGTAGTGATTGCCGCGGCCCTGGTGGGTGCTCAGGAATCATTCGCTTTGGGCTGCTCCTTGCATCCATTCGTCTGGCTGTGTAGCACCATGAGTAGCAGGCCTTTGGTTTGCCTAAACCACTGGTGTCTGATGTCCAAACTGCCACGGATCTGAAACAACTGCCTTGTCTCTCCACAGAAATCGCCCCAATGATGGCCAAGACGATTAAAGCTTTCAAGAACAGGTTCTCCCGACGATAAACCGAGGACTTACCTTGGAAATGAAATCTGGGGGGAGGAATACAAGGACGGTGGGGGTTGGGGAATGGAACTTCCAGAGGAGACCAGAGCCTTTCACTCCGTGGAAGCTTTCAGTCCCCGAGTCCTGCGCCGTCAGCGGGCGTGTGCCTGAGCCGGTGTCCGCAGCCGCTGCCTCCTTGCCTGGCAAGCACTTCAGCCGTTCTGAAGACGTGAAGCTTCGCTCTGAGGATTCTAAGGTCAATTGTACCTTCGTTGTTAATTAGCTTCTTTGTAAACTATAAGACATAGTTTTAATTAATAAATATTGCCCCCAGATTGTATTTATATTACCTCCCCCCCCCCCGCCCCCAAGTTTTCTGTTCTGCTTCAGTCCTCTTCCACACACTTAGCCTTTTATTTTTAGGGTTCTTTGTTAGAAGCCTAGTGGAAATCTTTCTCCTCTCCCGGTTCATCTCTCCTGAGTGGACTCCGGTCCAGAGAGAGACCTGGGCGTCCCCAGAGTCTGTGTGGGGCACGCTGCGCTGCGGGCTGCCTGTGCTGGAAGGGGAGCCCCGGCCTGGAGACCGGACATGTGCAGGGCAGCCCCCCTCCCTCTGGGACCTATTTCAGTGTCGCGCTGCGGTCCTGCCCCGGTGCATTTCTTCCCTCCTCATCACATAGTATTTATTAAGGGACATTCTAGAGTCTCCACCCCCCCACCCTTGTTTTTGCCAGGTCCCGCTTCTTTTGAGGCTGAGGACACAGAACCCCAGTATTTTTACAGTTTCCAGTTTCTAATTCAAAACTTTAGACTCCTTTTTCCTCCCTTATTTTTCCTTCTCCCCACTGGCATGGGGCAAAACGCAAACACCTGGCTGGGCTTCTGTGGGCCCCCAAATGCAACTTACAAGAGTTTTTAAAACCAGCACTTTAATCTCTTACTCCCTGTGAATTGCTGAATGGTTTTAAAAAGTGATGCTGCGTTGGAAATCGGTTTTGTTTTTGCCTTTAAGATCATGTGATTTGAAGAGCACAATTTGCTATGTATTTGTAGAGAACTTTGCAGCTTGAAACTCTCTACTTTTTGAGTCTTTAAGCTAGAATTTGGAGGAAAGGACCAGTTTAAGGAAAGGGTCTGAGCCACGGGGCATCCACAGGTTTGGAAAGGGAGAATCTCACTTTGGAGTTGACATAGGAGGAAAGATTAGAACTAGTAGGACAGCATCAGTGTTCTTGGCTGTTGAAGGCAGTGGCCTAGTAGGAACCCTGTTGATCGTGACCCTGGTAGAAGTAGATACTATAAATCGGAGATGCCCATCCTTTAGAAATCTGAGAAGCAGGTTGAGGGTGTGGTTGGTGTGGCAGCCCATGGAGTTTGGCAGTGGCTAGTCCCTTTGACAAGGTCGCTCAAAGCTCAGAGTATGGAGTCCACGGTTTTTAACCATCCTGTAGACCTCAGGCTCATTCTGAAGACTACAGAGCAACACAGCAAGAAGTCTGCGGCAGAAGCTGCATTGTTCAGTGTCCATTGCTGTGCAAGATGCCTGAGAGACACAAGTGTTGCTGTGTTTTAATTTGCTGTATTTTTGAACTGGGTAAAAGCATCCTTTCTCTTGATCATATGTATTACCATTCCACCAGTCCCCCAGCCCACTCCCCAAATGTGACACTAGGAAGCCTCTTCTTTAAAACCACATGAGCACCTGAGTCAGGTGCCAGACATCTGTCGCCTGGGATAGCTTCCTCTCAGTGTCCACACCTTGAATTTATCTCTTTACCTGTGTGTTGAAGTCTCTGCCACTGAAACCAGTTTCCCATATTTGATTCAGTTGTGTGTGATTTGATTTCCTTCATTAGGAGTCTTTGGGCAGGGAGGGAATAAAAGACACACCCCACCATCACTTTGGATCACCCCTGTTTACACAGAGCCAGATCTTCCTCCCGCCCCCTCTGAGTGTCTGTATCAGGGATATGACGTGGTGGGAAGGGTGAGCGAAGAGGAGAAACTGAGTTTCCAAGCGCTCGCCTCTCCGGGGTTGTTGGAATGGCTGCCTCTAGAGCAGACACAGGTTGGTGTTGAACCTTTGGTCTCATTTGTGGAAACTTGTGCAATCCTTTTCTCTGTGCTACACTACACACAAATCACCAAATTGCAGATTAACCCATTGTGATCCTTGGTGTAATGAACAGTTTCTTTGGGGCTTTTTCTTTCTTTCCGGGAAGTGGGAGGGAAAGGAGCAAGGTATTATCTTGCTCTTCATTTGTATTTTGGTCCCAAAATGTAAATACAATTTTCTATGTTACTTTTTTGTGGTAACTACCAAGATGAATATTTTAATTAGATAAGTTATATGAAAAGAAAGGAAAATTCCATGTCTAAATAAAAAAAACCAAACACACCCATATTCTGTTGTCTGTCTTCCGTTCTCCCTTCTTGTGTCAGAATGGCAGTCAGTCCCCATGTCTGGCTCCTGCGCTGAAGGCCGAGGTCTGAACCCCTGGGCTGGGCCTTAGAGGACGCTGGGTTTCTGTCTGCTGGAGCACAGCTCTCCTGGGAAAGGCGGGCTCCCAGCGGGGAGAACGCTGCGAGCAAAGCAAGGCGACCCAGATAAAGTGAGCACTTAGTTCAAAAGCTCTGCGCTGGCTGGGGAGCCTGCATGTTCAGTCACACAGCAAATACTTGTGTTGACCCCACTCTGTCACTCCGTGAGACAGACACGGCCCTGCCTTCATGCAGCATTCATCAAATAGGGGAGAGAGTAATGAAATAACAACACAAATCGTTTGCATTTTTCTTTTTTCTGGCCGCACCACACAGCTTGTAGGATCCCAGTTCCCTAGCCAGGGATTGAACCCAGCCCCTCAGCAGTTAAAAGTGCAGAGTCCCAACCACTGGTCTGCCAGGGAATTCCCAAAATCATTGTTTAAAATACAGATTTCTGACCCCACTACAGAAACCTGAATTGGTCAGAAGTATGATCTGGGAAAAGGTACTTTTTCATAGGCCTTCCTCAAGTTGGATGAGTAGCCTGGTTTGGGAATGCCTAGTACAATGGGAAGACAATGCGTGACCTTTGGAATAAAACAGATTCAGTTTTAAATCCTGGCTCCACCACTCTAGCTTTGTGAAATCTCTTTGAGCCTCAGTTTCCTCATCTATGAAATGGGAATAGTGACACCTCACAGGAATTCTTATAAGGATTAAATGAGAGAAGTAGAGCTCAATAAATTTTAGTGTCCTTCCTTCATTCTCTCTAAAGGTGGAATGAAAGGCAAAGTTTTGTTTCCAGTTGACAGGAATTAAAGTTTTAGGGTCACAAGCTGAGCACTATTCTGAGGTCAGTCCTTCCTGATAACTGAAATCTTAGCCCCTGCTGCTCCAGCTAGATTAGTTCAACTTCTCTGTTTCGGACTCCTGTCTCTTCCAGATCCCTTAAACCATAGCCCCCAGTAACCACCAAGAAGGCAGAGACTACCTAATTTCTTGTTATCTCAGGAATCACAAATACCAGGAGTTTGGTGTAAGACAGAAGTGGTGGGAACAGAAGGAAAATGAGCTATTAACCCAGCTCCACTTGATTGTTTACAGGTAGAAGGCAGGGTCCTCTGTTGCCACATCTTACAAGTTTTAAATAAAAGAAATCTAGATGTCTGTGTAAAGTTTACCAGTTTCTAAAACCCTGTGTCACAACTATATGCAATACTTCAGAAAACCTATATATGAAGTGGATAATTCTCTAGAAATACAACTTTCTGTTTAGAAATGGCAAATCTAAACAGACAAATTACCATAGAAGAAATAGGGAAAGTGGTTGCAGTGCTTGCCCTATAAAAAAAAGCTCCAGACCCAAGATGTCGTAGGGGAATTCTTTCAGCCTTAAAGATCAGATAATACCAAGGTCACTTAAACTACTGCAAAGCAAAGAAAAGAGCTCCCCCAAGAACTTCGGGCTTGGCTATAGTACAGTAACAACTAAAATCCCAGTGACTCAAAACAACAAAGCTTTGGGGACTTCCCTGGTGGTCCAGTGCTTAAGAATCTGCCTTGCAATGCAGGGGACGCTGGTTTGATCCCTGGTCTGGGAACTAAGATCCCACATGCCCTGGGGCAACTAAGCCCATGGGCTGTGACTACTGAAGCCCTCATACCACAACTCGAGAGTCCATGCACCACAATGAAAGATCTTGCATGACAAAATGAAGGTCCTATGTGCTGAAACTAAGATCTGAGTCAGAAAACTAAATAAAAAGTTTGTTACTCAGTGTCCCTTAGGGAGGCCTTTCAAAGTAAGTGAGGAATACTGCACTGGACCCTAAGCTGTGTCCAGAGGATACATCCATCGTTTCCATCACATTTCACTGGCTGCACCAGAACTCAAGGGTACAGGGAAGTGCAATCCATCCATACACCTTGATGCAGAGCACCGGAAATATTTGCTAACTCCAAAGGCAATCATAGTAGCCTGGACTTGGGTAATCTACAAGCCCACCTAACTTTGGATCCCACACTTCTGAGCTTCAGCAGGTCAGGTAAGCTCTGTGTGTCTCAATATTTTCCTCCAAAAATGAGGAAAACACACCAACCTTATAGAGCTATAGTATAATGATTTAATGAGATAAAAACATGTCAAGTGCTTAGAATAGGACCTGGCACATAAAAAGAGCTCAAAGCATGTCAGCCAGGACACTGATGATGAATTAGGGGAAGTACCCAACACAGAAGGACTTCCCACCTGGCGCAGTGGTAAACGAATCGCCTGCCAACGCAGGAGACCATCCCTGGGTCAGGAAGATCTTCTGGAGGAGGAAATGGCAACCCACTCCAGTATCCTTTCCTGGAAAATTCTATGGCGAGAGGAGCCTGGCAGGGTACAGTCCATGGGGTCAGAAAGAATCGGACACAACTTAGCAAGCGAGTACGCACACGTTCACATACACACACAACTAGACTTTCAGCTCAGCGCCCCCGCCTGGTTCAATGGGAAATTGCAATCGCTAAGCGGGGTGGCTTTGGAGGAAAC